ACTCATCTGGTATCTGCAAGGATTTCCTTTGCCTTTAATTTAGATTTAATTTGGCTCTTTTCCATGTAAGGATATTTGTTTTCCAGAACAATTCACAATCTGCTAAGGACTGTATTCATTTCCAAAAGGTTTGAGGACTTCTTGCTCTTTGGAATGAATTGCGCGTTCCCTGGGAGGATTTTCCAAAAATCATTTGATGTAGATGAGATGGGAGAGATTACCTTCCAGTGACTGTTCTCAGCTGTGGTCCAGCTGTTCCCTAGGAGCCGCCAGCAGTTTGACCCGATGTCAGTGCCAGTGCTCAAGCGAGTGCTGGGAGCTATAGAAAATCCCACCTCAAATACGTAGGTGGAAATACCCCTGCCTCAGCAGGTAAGCATAGCAGATGACCTAATCTCTAAAGTTTAACCCCAATTTCGATGCCAGCAGCACAACTCACTTGACTTAGTTGTATTGCTCCTCATCTGCCCTGGTACCTAGATTCAGACTGGCTGATGCAAAACCATAGGAAAATGTAATAAAATAAAGGACTATCCCAATAAGGGAATAAGAAATACACGTTTTCACTTCAAAAAGACCCAGAGAGACTACATGAAAAAACAGTAATGCGTCTTTGATACTGCATTTTATGTTCTTTTTCCATCCTTTTTTAGGACAAGGGCACTCATCTCTGGCGGGATCTCCTTGGAAACACTGGTTGTAGAAAGCCATTCCCTTTCCAACAGACAGCGCATGAGTACACTGGCAAGCTCATCCTGTGGTCCTCTGCCTCGTTTTTCTTTCTATTCCCACTTTTAGCCATTTTGCATAGCCAGATAGAAACATCTTTTCCTTGAGATGGTGTTGAGCTGAACCCCTGCGACCAGGAGAATCCCAAGCGGGTCCATTAGCCTAGTGGGTCTGATATGCTTGAAATTTTCTTTAAAGCAAAAACTGATCAGTCCCTGCTCTGGGCCAGCAGCAGAAGACCTGGTGCCCTCCCTATAACCTGTCTCATGGGTTTGGGTTCCTCCATCATCCTGGTGAGAGTTCAGGTATAGGCAGGAAAAGGACTTGGGGGTGCTGGTGGATGAGAAGCTCACCATGAGCCGGCAATGTGCGCTGGCAGCCCAGAAAGCCAACCGTGTCCTGGGCTGCATCCAAAGCAGTGTGGGCAGCAGGTAAAGGGATTCTGCCCCTCTGCTCTGCTCTCGTAAGACCCCCCTGCAGTGCTGCGTTCAGCTCTGGAGTCCCCAACACAAGAAGGACATGGAGCTGCTGGAGTGAGTCCAGAGGAGGCCATGAAGATGATCCGAGGGCTGGAACACCTCTGCTATGAAGACAGGCTGAGAGAGTAGGGGCTGTTCAGCCTGGAGAAGAGAAGGCTCTGGGGTGATCTTATTGCAGCCTTCCAGTACTTAAAGAGGGCCTACAGGAAAGCTGGAGAGGGACTTTTTACAAGGGTGTGTAGTGATAGGACAAAGGGCAACGGCTTTAAACTGAAAGAGGGCAGATTTAGGTTGGATGTAAGGAAGAAATTCTTCACTCTGAGGGTGGTGAGGCACTAGAACAGGTTGCCCAGAGAAGTTGTGGATACCTGGAAGTGTTCAAGGCCAGGTTGGATGAGGCTTTGGGCAACCTGGTGTAGTGGAGGGTTTCCCTGCCCATGGCAGGGGGGTTGGAACTAGCTTTGAGGTCCCTTCCAACCCAAACCATTCTATGATTCTATGCCTATACCATATGTTTGATTTCAAGCTACACGGCAAGTCACTAGCTGGGTTTTTCATACGCTCTGGCTCAGCATAGAGGGGTTCGTTTAAGTCTCGAGCATTTGAACTTTGTGCTTGGACAAGGTCCTTGCAACGCGCGGCACGCCGTCGGCCCCGGGCTCGCTGTCACTTACGCTTGCTGGTGTGCCCGCAGTGCTGAGCACGGGGCGTGCAGACCCGCAGGGCTGGGCTTCTCCAAACGGGCTGACCCACGGCTGTAGGATGGAGTTAAAGATCAGACACTCGGTCCTTACCTCTCAGCCAGCGAGCTCTTGGTTCCGGCTTTGCGCCCTGGTCTGCTCCCAAGTTCCCGGGAAGAGTTGTACTGGGAACTGCTGCTCTTAAAGGTACAGGCTGCCTCTAATGCCTGGCCAGGACAGCGCCGTGCTCCAGCAGAACAGAAAAAAAAGGGAGATATAGTTTCTTCTTTTATAGTATTTTATATTCTGATGATTTTATTGGTTTAATTTTATTGATATATGCCTAAAAAGCCCTGTCATACAATTCATTGTGTTAGGTGCTGCACAAAGAGCCTAAAAATGATCCAGTCCCCCAATAGTTTACAATATTGTGCAGATTGTAACTTCCCACGTTACTGATTGAGAACTGAAGCCTTCCAGGAGTGCAAAGGAGAACTCCTATATGGATATCACAAGCAGCTTTTGCAAGTGGTTATAAACCTGTCCTCAGCCCTGCAGGTGCTTCAGTCTCGGGGTACTTTGCTGGTCACACCTGTGCTGAAGCAGCAAAGCAATAGTGCAAATTTTGATACAGATTTTACATCGTTGACACTGACATGGCCTTGATCCCTGTAGGAAGCGACTTCTGATAGGTAATAATCCAAGTCAAGGAGTCACTGATTTGTTGGTGGGGGATGGCAGCTCTTGAATTAATCCCACCACACTGAGCTATTCTTCGTGGCTGCTATCAGACCCCCCCCAAAGCAACAAGGTCAGATATGCCGAGCCGTTTAGCTCTCTAAATCCCCTTGGCTTCAAAGAGAAGCCCTGTCCTTCGGGAGCGAGGATGCTGCTCCCGGATAGCCCTGTGCTCCCTGAGCCCTCTATGCCTTTAAGGATTTGCCTCCAAAGTTAGTGATAAGGAAAATGCAAACTAGTGCAATCTGAGATGAAGAACCTTTTTTTTTTTTTTTCCCCTCCTTTCAACAGAGTTTCATTCAGTAGCTCAGCAATAAAATCTGCTTCTGTGGGTGAGCTGAGCAGGAGGTCCAGAAGCGCTGAGCTGTGCTGCAAAGTGGGCAGCAGCCGGAGCAGTGGACAGAGCACATGCTCCAGGAGATGAGTCAGCTGAAAGGAAAGCAGGTTTTCCTATTATTGTTTGCCCTTCACGTGCTGAATCTCTGGGGCAATGGACATAACACCCTACTCCTTCCTCCGAGCCTGTGAAACAGCCCCAAAGCATGAGAAACACCCAGGCACGGGGAGAGGAATGGGCACAGCCCTTTCTAGGTGTTTCCCATCTCTGTTCCCACAAACGATGGAGCTTCTTGGCTCTGCATGGACCTTCTCCTGCCCTAAACCTCTGCAAGACCTGGCTGGGCTTTTACCTCCATCCTGATGCTCTGCCCCAGCTGCCAGGCTGCTGCAAGGATAAAGCCACCGCGTTCAGCTCCGTTAGCTCTTCCACTGACCTGGGGACCAAGGAAGGATACAGCATGCAGATCCTGGGACGGTTTCTTCTGACCATCTGTATTGCAAGGTACTGGTCCACACTATAAGAAGCCCCTTTTTCTTCTGCAATCCACTACAGAGTCAGTCCTTAACATTTCATTTCCCTATAGGATGGAGGAGCCTCATGCGCTATAGGGGACTATCGTGTACATGCAGCCAAGCACGTATAGATGCATTTGACTCTGGGAAGGCAAGGATTTGGGGAACTCACTGTGTCTCCATGAAATATATTTTGAACGTGAGGAATAGCAGCAGCTTTTGGTAACTATAAATTGCTAGTTTTAGAAAGCTGCACATATTACATAACAAATAAAAAAGGGTCAGTGAGTTATTGTATTTTTTAAAGCCTTAGCTGCAAAATATTGCCACATACAAATAATCAGAGCAACTGCAGTGATTAATGAAATTTTTTACTTTGAGAATACACATTGTAATTTTTTGGGAAAAAAAAGCTGGATACTTCACAATTCTTGATTTTTTTATTTAATTGTAATTCACTTATACAATTTACTTTATTATAAGTGCATAGTTGTAATGCTTCCATGATTTGTACATAAAAGAACATCAAGCATCATCTCGAAGGGCGAAGTGATTACATTTGAGTAATTCCTCACACTAAAAATCTTAGCCTTTAGGTGTCTGATTAAGATTCATCGTTTCTCCTTATATCAATATAATTAGTATCACTGCAAACACATCCTCGGTAGAACAGATACGGTTCAGAAAAATAATTCTGCGCATGTGTTTGAGTTCAGCCACGATAATTAATGTGCAATAACACTCAGAGAAGAGCATCACTCAGGAGAGAAGTGTGTATTCCCAGCGGCTTGCTGCTGGGTGGGAGCAAACCAAATGCACGGGAGATGCCTTCAGTTCAAAGAAATACTGCATTTTGGTTATGTTGCTCAGAGAACAGGCGGCATATACAGTCTGAAACAAGACAGAATTGTCTCCTGATATTTCTCATTATCAGTTTTAGGCCATAAGTAGCCCGTCCGTAAGCATTGGCACAGCACGGCACAGACATGGGGCTGTCCGACTGCTACATGAGAGGGTGCTGTGAACACGAGAGCAAAAAGGACAGGTTTATGGCTGTACTGGAGCAAACTCGGCGCTGGATGTCTTTGTTTTTCTGGCTATTAAATTCCAAAAATACTATGGTATTCATTTAAGAGGTGGGTATGATTTTCCCCAGGTGGCAGTGCAAAGTAATAAAGAAAGAGACATGCAGCTCCGTGGCTCTGCCCTGCAACTCTGGGTGCATTTGGAAAACCTTTTAAGAGATGAAAGGAGTAGGGAATGGGCAGAGTCTGCTTCCAGCCAGGCACGAACAGAAGGGGAGTGATTTGATTGAGATAGGAAGAAATTATTTGTACCCAAACCAAAAAAGAGATGCAGGAGCAGTTGTGAAAATCAATTTCTTTTCCAGATGCATGATAATATGTTCTGCCTTACGCCGGTGTAGATGGAAAGAGAAAGCTTAACCTTTAGATGCTTGTCAGAAATAGGGGGAAGGATTGCATGTAATGCCACTGGATTGAATTATAATTCAGGCAGTGAGTTAAAACAGAGACAACCTGCTTGTATTGATGGGTACAAATTTCTTGTCTAGTGTTATATTGAATTTCTCTTTCAGTGTTTTCTCCACTTCTTCGTCTGCAAGGATTCTGATTTCCACCAGATCCATGTTATCCTTATAATCGTACTTTATCTCAGTGAGTTTCCACCCCACAAGAGCCCGGACACCGTCAGCAGTCTGCAGGCTGCAGATGGACTTTGTCACAAACAGCGAGTCCGGCGCTGTCTGCAGGTGGGTGTTGCGGGCTCTGAACTCTTCAATGTCTCGTGGCTGAAGGGTGAAGAGATAAACCCGACGGCAAACTTCTTTTTCCACGTTATGGGAAGCGGAGACGCTTTGGTTGGGAACCCACTGCTTCCTTTTCACCTTCTCGAGATACCAGACCCCACTCTCCTCCAGGAAGCGGAAGACCCCAGGGGTCTGCGGCTGGGCCGGCCCCGAGGTCAGCTCCATTGGCTGCCACATCTGGTAGGCCATCCCAAACCCGCCGTCCACGATGTAGGATTTGTCACCAAGCTCCACTTTTAGCAGAAGATGATCGATGTCATCTGCGTACGCGTCGTACTCGGGGACATAAACTTTTGATCCCAGCAGGGTGACCTCATAGCCGAGGGTTGTCAGGACCCAAGATAAAAGGTGGTTGTTTTCCATGCACCAGCCCCCGCGTTTCTTCCTCACTATCTTCTTGTAAGTTGCTTCCAGGTCCAGCTCAATGCTTTCCCCACAGTGGATGCTGAGGTTTTCGAAAGGGACCGCTTGGATGTGGTGCTGGAATATATCCGTCAAGGTAGCCAGGTCCGGCTTATCGTAGGAGCCCCGGTAAGAAATTCTGGCAAAATACTCCTTGATGTCCATGCTGCTTCTGAGAGAAGGGTGAAAGAAAAATAGGTGTGTTAGAAGTGATGGAAGAATCTTCCCTGTCCCTTACAACGGGCGTTCATCAGTATGGGCAGCCTGCTCCGAAGAGGAGCGGGATTTGACTAATGGCCCTATCAAAGGCAGCTGAGTGTGAGTATTAGCGCTTAGGGATGCCAATGGGACGCTGCTGATGAGCACAAATGTTATTTTTAATTGTTTCTTTTACAGCTGTGACGAGAGGCTCCAGCTGTGCTAAGCACATTTCAGCAGAGAGTTCCTGCCCAGTAAAGCTACAAATCTCCGAACAAAAACAGCAGCAGCGCTGTTTCCCTGCTAGAAATTATAGGAACTGAGACTCTCCAGCACTGAACCACTTTACTCGTGGTTTGACTCAGCGAAGCAGAAGCAGAAAACAAACCCTCCCACTCTCGCAGAGCAATCCAGAGCCTCTGCTGCAACCAAATCTGAAATAAATCTGCCCTGCTGCAATATCTCCTTCGTTATTGAGGCAGCCTGGCACGAACCGGTCTCACCTGCTCCTGCTCTCCGTGTTGCTGGTAGCAGATATGACCTGGAGCACAGGAGGGTTTTTTTAGGGCAGAAAAGGCTGTAGGAAGGTTTGGTTTTTTTCTGCATCTGCTGTGATGCACCTCCCTACAGCACAGCTTAGCTCCCTGGCTCATCACTGCCCTATGCCAGCAGCAGGAGGAAACCAAGGTTTGGGCCAAAACTACAAGTTTTCAGAGGGCCTCGCGTTTCCTGACATCATTTTTGGGATGCATTCTCTCCTTCGACTCACAGTCTCCCCAGCGGTGGGTGGCCGTCTGTGGGTGCAGGACCAGGCGTTGCCCTCCCTGTCCCGACTGCAGCAGAGGGCTCAGCGGAGGCTGTGTTCCACGAGCACGGGGGTGGGAAGCAGCTCGAGCCCTCCCAGCCCTTGATGGTAAGGAAACAAGAAAGGGCTTTTCATGTAGCCAACTACTTTTGTTATTCCTCTCCAGGCACTGCTAAATTTCAGCCGTCTCTGAGTACTGAGTGATGTTGTTCAGATTATTGACCCAAACGTTCTCAGGTTCCCGTGTACGACTCTCAAGGTAAAATCATAAGAAAAAGTCCAACTGTTCCAACAGGATTAAATTCTCAATCTGATTAAAAATGGCACATTCCAAATGGTATGGGAATTTTGGAAAGATACTTTCAGTATACAAACAAAGCAATAAAAATGAAAAATTTCAGAAGGCAGAAGCAGAGGGTGTCCCCAGTTTCACTTCCCCCATTTTCTAACCTTTAGGATAGAAACATTACAGAAATCTGTAACTGTTGTATCATGGCCACCACCACATCTCCGACATTCAACAAGCAGCCTTGAAGGATCCCACATCAGGTCAGGAGCGTCAGGTCATAATTGCAGGGTTTCTCTTTGCTCAGCTTTTGGCTCGTTCCCAAGCTTTTCCCCAAAGCCCCAGAACTACAGTTCCGCTCATTTTTGAAGACTTGGCAGAAATTTAGTTCTCGCCGTGTGAACTTTAAACCAGCCTCACCAGCAATGAACATTTTCCCCCCTTTCTTTCTCCCTTTCTTTCACTTCGCCACAGCTGGCAAAACACTTATAGTGAGTTTCACTTCAAAGGAAAACGTTGGTGTGGGGTTTTTCTGTCTGTCTGTCCATCTCTTGAGGGTGTTTATAAGGCCCTTTCAACAGCGGGATCTGAAATAAGTCAGATGGCATCAATGCCCCATCTGCTCGAGGCCAGTAACTGAGCAAATAACCCAGCGTACCTATTGCAGCAACGCGCAAGGAGGCTGTTGCAAGCAGCTGACTGTTTCCTACTCTGCCGTTACACCATTCTCTGCCATGTTTTGCTTTCAAACAGATGTAACTTCCTGGTTAGGGAGCGCTCAGCTACCAAGATTCGAGGTTTAAAAAAAAGTCTTACCTGGAAAATCAGTTCAACTGCCAGTGTATCTCCGGGCTTTGGGGACAGATATTTTTAGGCTAAAGCAAGTGGTGTGGCTGGCTGGCCTTTGCCTGGCACGGGCAGGGCTCAAGGACTGCTCTCCAGCTGCTCTTCGGGGGAATGTCTTCTCCTCCAACTTGCTTTCACCCGCCTCTGTCAGACTGCAAAAGCTGAAAAAAAAAAAAAAAAAAAAAAAAAAGGGGGGGGGGGGGGGGAAAGCAGGAGGGTGGAGCACAAGAGCTGTAGTGATTGAGCAAAACCAACAGCACTGACTCAACACACATGCAAAACCTGGCTGGTGTCGGAGCAGAGGCTGCCTCCCATCTTCACTTGTTTCATGCTTTCTACAGGGGCCAGCTTGGGCTGTGACCAAAAGGGTGGGGGTTTGTTTCAGTACCTAGCTGAATGCACTCAGGCAATTTTATTTTTTTTTCCCCAGGTATTGGGTTACTGTTTGTTTGGAAATGTGGTGAAAAATCTTGCATGCATTCCATCTGAGAAGGTTTTTGCACTGTTTCTGAGAAGCAGCAAGATTTTGGCACAGTAATTTGCACCTGTGCCCCCCCCGCCCCAGTCAGCACACAGGAGAACTTCAGCACTGCCTTTGCTTGACTTGCTCTCTGTCATTTATGTGCATTTTTTTGTGACAGCGAATTTCACAGAATGTAAGAAAGCAGTGGGACTGCAGTGTGTCTTCTTTGGTCTTTTCACACAAGTCGCCCCTGAGGATGTCGTGGTGGTGAAGGTGCTATTGGCAAAGTGATGACTACGGTGCACTGACACACGGGGAGCTCTGGCTTTTTGGTGTGTTTCATACTGCTTTTGAATCTACAAATTTTGCTTGCATGTTGCCAAGCTAAGCCTTATTAGCTCTCTCATATGTACAGCTGGATTCTTTCTTGTTAGTTCCCCAGCAGTAGTTCCAGTCTTTCACATTTAGTATCAATGGCAAGCTTCATTCAAACACTGATTTATTGTGAATAATTAGCAGAGATAATAAATCAGACTAAACAGAGATGTCTGTGGTAACCTATTACGCAGCTCCACTCCCATATCAAAGTTTGGCTCTTTATCATCCCATCAGTGGCTGATGTTTGACCCCACAAGCGAGAACCGATGCCCAAGCCGGGAGACACTGAAGGGAATGGATTACGTGCCCTCACTGGGCTCCTCTGGGCAGCTCCAGTTTGTTACAGAGAGAAAGTCCATATTCCTGGATGGATCTTGCTGTGCGTGGAATAAACCCTTCTCTTCCCACAGACTGAGAGCCCCTCGTTTTGACAAAGAGAAGCCAAAAGTTGTGCAGGCAGACCCGCAGTTCTGGTGGGAACTATACCAAAGAGATGCCCATGGGCCTGTTGGTGTGCGATGTCCCCGCAGACCCAGCCATGCTCCTTGCCAGAGTCATTTGGGACCACAAGCGGTGCCAGAAGCAGCTGCTTGCTGTGCTCCCTTGGGCAAACATGCAAAGCAGTTTAGTATCTGTTCCAGCTAATTTTGGGTTCCCATTAAGACACGAGTGTTTTCTAACCAGATAGGAGCAAAGCCTATTTCTCCTGGTACTTTGGTGTTCAGCTTTTCTCAGCTCCTCTCCCTATATCACAGCTCTGATATTGAACATTTTCTTCCCGTGTCTTTCAAATTCTCAGCACAACTCATTATCCCATATGGTCATTCCTGCATCACTCTCTTTTTCCTTCCCATCCTGCACATTTTGCTCCTCAAGCCCTTAAAACCTCCCCAGGTATGCCCAAGGCCATCAGAGGGCAAACCTCACTCAACGAGTGCCAAAGGGAAGAAAAGGCTGTTCTTGACCCGAAGTCTTGCCGGAGTCTGTTTGCATTTCAGCTCTGTGCCAGATCACAGGGGCAAACTTCAGGCTTGGTGGGGCAATAAACTGCAATCACAATACTCTGATTAACAGAGCATTTTATGTTGCAATATTTGCTTAGGGAAATAAAAGCAGAGGGTGCCCTGTTTGGGGTAATAGTCAAGTGTCTGCTCCCTGTTAAACAACTCCCCTCTGTAATGACCTCTGTGATGGGCTGTATAACAAAGGAAGGTATGTCATGTCATGTCATGTCATGTCATGTCATGTCATGTCATGTCATGTCATGTCATGTCGTCATGTCGTCATGTCATGTCATGTCATGTCGTCATGTCATGTCATATTATAATCTGGATGCTTAATATACAAACTATATGGTATTCTACTTAACTATCTGGTTTTGGAGGGGAGGGGAGGAGAGAAAAGAGACTTTTAAAGTAATAAAACAACTGAAGTGTTTTAAATGGCATTAGTATAAAATCTTCAATTCTTACACAAGGTCAGATTCTCCCATCCTGCTGAGCTTTGCGTCTCTGGAAAAGGAAACGCTGCGCACTCTGAGCCGAGTGCTGGCTCTAGCTTTTCATTGCCAAAGGGAATTTAATAGATGTAGGTTGCCCTAATACAAGACTGGTAAATAATATTCACAGTCTATAAACATAGTCATAATGGCAGAACTCCCTCATGCTTTATATTCTTACCTTCCTTATATAATTAGAGATATAAAATAGCTGCGACTACGTATCTTTACAGATTTGTATCTGCAGCATCCATCATCTGCAGTTTTGGTGTTGTCCATCCCACCAACTGAAGGATGAGCCCAAGACTACGACAGCAACTTTTGCTCGTGGGACTACAGAAGGGAGCAGCTGTGCTGGTCATTGCTTGGCTTTTTCTTGGTGAGGAAGAGACTGAATCTCAATTTTTAGAGTGTCCACTATCTGAGGCATCTTTCTGAGGGCTGGTAAGTGTCAAAAATTATCTCCTCTGCTTATCTTTACCCTGCCAATATGAGGTTTTTCACACAAGCCAACACTGAGGGTGTTAATGCAGACCGAGGAGACCACTTTGGTCTGTAGGGCCTTCCAGTCCTGAGGATTTCAGCATAAATCTCTTGCATGTAAGTGATGGTAATTCAGTTAAATTCCATTACAAGGGGAACAATTGGCTTTTCTACATGAATGGGTTTATCTCATAGAGGGTTTGAAGCA